CTGCACCACTAATCGCTTCTAAACACAGAAAGGGCCTTTCGGTGAGGATTCACGGCTGAAACTGGCGATAGTCTGGCGACTAGTTTGAAAGCTTTTGTCGAGAAGGGCCCAACTGAGTGACCATTTCTGAGTTTTGTGCCGTGGTCACAGCCTATTATATCCTCGTCTCAGACGGGTCTGAACCCTACCGAATCCGTTGTCTCAAGGGCGAGTGCCTTGTTCGACAGTCGAAGACCCCCTGGCCCAACGTTAAGATGTGCTATCGTTGGAGTATTCCTGTCTGATGATGGCAGGCCGGTTGGATGTGCTCGTTCCAATGTTGGCAAAATTTACAGACACACTCAATTATTTCCACATTTGGTTACTTTGAAAGAATCTAGATAAATCTACTTGATTTTTCACAAGGTTTGCTTTCTCTTCAGATAACATCGAAATGGTTACTGGCTCATGAGAACTTCTCATGAATGCATTAACAGGCTGATTTTTATCTTCCATCTTGTGCATGTCAGTTAAAACAGGGCAATACGCATCTTAAGCTCACTCCCAAGTAAAGTTGCCTTGCCACTGTTTTATTCCGACGTCGGGCGTTTTCCGGACCTGCGTGAAGAGTTTCAGTATATAATTGATAAAGATAATCTTTTTTCTCAATGTGAATTGCGCGACTTTTTGAAAAAAACGGTGATCTTCTCAGTTCCTTGTTAATTACTTCCTGTGGCCTAATTTGTGTAGGTAAGGCTCGTCACGCTCCTTGGACGTGATCGGCTGTGGCCACCAGAAGGAAGGACTATCCTGCGCAGACAACAATTTAAAAACTTCTTCAGGTTTGCAAAAGTCAGAACTCCGGGATTAGAGTCAGAGATCATATTTTGCTCACCTGATTGCCTTTTTTTGTTTGTACGCGAAAAAATCGATCAGTTCATGGCCAAGACCTGCAGCCACAACTTTGAATTGCTGATCGATAAAGTCAGTTCACGCTTTGATAAAGGACAGCCGGCCCAGCTGTCCGAAACGTCAGCGAACAAACAAACACATTTCGGTGAACAAGATATGATCTCTCATCTCTAAAAACGTTTTCTTAGGAGAATTCTTTACCGGTAATCCTGCCACGCGCCAAATATCTTAGTGCAGTTACCGTGGCTTGTTTTTTTCAGGTCCTGCGTTCGAGAAACGCACATTGAAATCCAGCTTAGTCCGTATAAACTTCTACTAGCTCCTACGAACCTCTCCTTTTTGAGCGCTTTTTTTCGAAATCCTTTTTCTAAAATGCTTCCCCGAGATATCTGTGCAGCAAACACGGCCGCAAAACGAAGTTGAATAAGTGTTTTTTTGCATTTGGTCGTCCAGGTATAGTTGCAGGAGACCAACATGGCATTACTACTACCCGTTCATTTGTCCGCGCGAAATTTGATGCCGCTGAAGAACACTTTGTTAAAGGTCATTAAACGCTGTGCTGCATGAAGTCGAATCTTCGTACGGGTTAGTTAACTTTAGAAGAATTGTGCGACAGGAAGACTGGGTCTAATCCAATGCTATTCGCCGTATAATTTTTTTTCGGCAAACTTGCCTCCCCACCCCGCGTGTCCCTTGCATCTTTGCATGGAGACGCCTCCATTAATGGCTTACTGTCCTTCCTAAGTTATTATTAGCAAGGTCATGCGCGTATATCTGCGTCACATAATAACTCTGACATCCAGGAATATCCCTTTAGCACTTTCTGACTCCACTGTGCCACCTGTGAACTATTTGTCTGTCACATTGATTTTAAGCTACGATAGTTAAGAACAAGTAGGGTGGTCCTCTCCCCTAGCCACCCTATCCCACTTCCTAGCCAACGTTTCATCTGAACCTTTTGGCCCCTTTTTCAGCTACTTGATACCTAAACTGATTGCTATTCAGTCTGGAATCGTCAGGCTAATTAGGCCCTGTTGAGAACTGGGACACTTGTATCTGAAATGGGTCGATCTCGTCTAAACGCGGAGAGGAAACTGTTGGGAAACCCAGCAGTCGGTCCCAAAGGGGAGTTAGTCATAGGTCTGTGTGTATAAACTGGAACACACGCATCCCAAGAAATTTTAATTGGAAGAAGATGTTCTTTGGGATAAAAAGTAACTTTAATGAGTGGATTTTCGAGTTTGGCGCCCCAACTCGTCTTCGGACTAACAGGAAAAGTGCAACGAACAACTAAAATTTCAAAATTGCCGAAAAAATCAATAGTCATATAGAGTGAGACGTGATTGG